CCTCCTCACAGTGACACCAATCCTTTGTCTCCCTGCAAAGAAATCAAAACAGTACCTTTGACTGGATCACACTTGTCCGATCCACACCCTTTCGTCAACCTCGCCTAGCTCCCTTTCTCCACAATTGGGTGTTAAATTCAATTTGGCTATCTTCTAGAATTTGTAAAACTTCCTCCCATAGGGCATGTCAAGCTCACATCCTATGCACTCGCCTTAGAAGAAGTGATATCATCTTTAATTCAAAAACACGCCATTCACCTGCACAGGACATCCCAAATAGCTTCTACTCCTGTTACTTCGTGGTCCCCAAGAAAGACGGAGGCATCAGGCCCAGTCTAGTAACTCAGAGATCTGAATACTTACCTTCAGCCACAACGATTTTGAATGGTCACCTTGGATTCCATCGTTCATCTGCTACATCAAGGTTCATGGTAGATCTGCAAGATGCCTATTTTCATATTTCTATTCACCAACATCACCAAAAATACCTCAATTTCTTCTTCATAGATACTGCCTATCAATTTTGAGCCCTTCCCTTCGGTGTATCCACCGCTCCTCACACATTCACAAAGTGTATGGCTCCCATTACAGCTTATCTTCACCAACAACATTACAATTTTTCCATACATAGACGATTGGCTGATAGTAGCCTCCACTTGTCAAAGGCCATTTAGGACACCGAGTCTGTGCTCTAAACCTTAAAGGGCCTAGGCCTTCAAGTAAACACAAAAAAATTCACATCTTATTCTATCCCAAGTTGTGGACTATATAGGAGCATGTATAGATTCGATCAAGGCTTGTATTTTTCTGCTGTCTCAATGTATTCAAAAATTACGTCACACAGTCCGCAGGTTTCGTCCCCTCGCCAGGGTCTCAGCTGACCACACTCAACACCTACTAGGCCTCATGGCTTCAACCACGTCAGCTCTTCCGCATGTGCGTTTTAAAATGCGGTCTCTGCAGGCCTGGCACTTGACTCTGTTCGATCCAATGAGTGACAACCCAAGCAAGACTCTGTGTGTTACACTGGAACTGTCAAAACAGCTAGAGTGGTGGACGTTCACACCACCTCATTGGGCACACCTTCCACCTGTTATAGCTCACAGTACAAGTAACAATGGATGCAAGTCCCACCGGTTGGGGGGCACATTGTGGTGCAAGCAAGAAAGACGTCTCCACATCAATCACCTTGAGATGTGGGCGGTCATAAAAGCTTAATAGAAACAAACAAGGAGGTACCCACTCGATGTCACTCCTCTGCCTGGCGGTTCATCTGTGGGAATGGTGTTACAAACATCACATATTCCCTGTAGCCATTCATGTGTCCACAGAGGACAATGAAGTGGAGGACAACTTGAATCGATTGACCATACAGTCTCTTCAGTGGGAGCTCGATACGCCAGTATTTATGAGGATTTGCAAACGCTGGGGATATCTAGTGGTGGACATGTTTGCTACACATCTCAACCAAAAATGCAACATGTTCTGCTCCTGTACAGGCAGAGGATGCGCATCATTGGGGGATGTCGTTATGACCCGGTGGAGGACTGACCTACTTTACCTCTTCCCACCCCTACCGCTCATTCAGAGAGCTCTGGTCAAAATCAGATAAGTAAGAGCCTATGTAATTTTAATAGGACCACGGTGGCCTCGTCAGCCGTGGTTTACTTCCCTCATGACGACAGCCACAGAATTCATAAAACTACCTCCTCTGCCACATCTCCTCTCACAGAACTTGGGCAACATCTACCATCCTGATCTGTGCTCGCTGCACCTGCCTGCGTGGAGAATTCTCCCTTAATTAAAGAAGTTCTTGAAAAAGCCCAGAAGCCTTCCATTAAAACTTTGTATGCCTATAAGTGGAACAATTTTGTAAAGTTTGCCCAATCCAAGGGTTTACAGTCCCAACCAGTCTCGCTTGGCACTCTTCACACTTATTTACGTTATTTGTTCGACCAGGGGTTAGCCCTGTCTACGTTGAAGGTTTATACCTCAGCAATTGCCTCTTATGAACCCTGTGATTCTGAATCAGTGTGTTTATTTTCCCAATCCGACGTTGAAGTAAAAGCTAAGAATAAATGACGGAGATGGGGAGGCTGGGCGGGATGTGTGAATTCTCCTGTGGGGAGGCTGGGTGGGATGTGTGAATTCTCCCCTTCCCTGGTCTCAACTCAAATAAAAATGTTGCTTTTGTATTTTAAAAAATGTAAACTGTTGAGTTTTTGAATGAATGCCATTTTAGGGAGAATGAATTGTCTCTAAGTCTATAATTCTCTTGAAGCTTACATGAGACTAAATTCAACTGAACATAGTGGAATCTGGTTTTACACAGACACATGACTGCACTGTAAATGTATTTTTCAATATGGTGGAGAGTGTGCTAATTCAGTTGTATTATCTGAAAGTCTAGAAGCAAAGTCTAATGTAAACACAGGCTGACAATTTAATCAGTCTGTTGAATATGATGTGTGGTGACCACTATCTCACTTGAAAGAAAGGAAGTGATACAGATTGTGATAATCTATCATGAATTAAGCCTTCATTATCATACATTCTGTGTGATTACTAGGCTGCAAATCAGCTGTACTTTGTCAGAATCAGAAGCCAGTAGCTTCTGAGTGTTGTTAGTTTCCCACTAATTGTCATGTCATGTCCTATCATTCGATAGGAAAGGAAATGCAAAGGAAGTGAGCATCACTGCTAGTTCAGAACATTCCAGTGAGGTTGGAAAATTTGAGAAAGAGCTCTGGTGAGAAGAAAATGGACTTACTGACAGGGTGTAGTTGTCCTTAGATCTCTTTCACAGCAATATTCTGAACAATGAAATAATCCTTCTCTCTTTTCTTATGTTCTCCATCTCTTACTCCAACAAATTTTGCAACAAAGACAGAAAAATAGATGTATGTATGTGAGGGGAGGGGGTACCAAGAAGAAAGACCAACGAGAAATAAGCAACAGCCTTCATTGTCCGAACATTCATTTCCAGTCATTGACAACCCGAAGCTGATTTAATTCACCAGTTACTGTGCAAATAGCCATCTCATGCTCCAGAGCTATGCAAGATCACATTATGCCATTGAAACAGACATGCGCTTGTTCCCTTGTGAGTACAGATGAACATTGTGGCCCAGGTAGCAGGGCCTGATCATTTGGCCTTGGGAAGCTCAACCACTAATTAATAGAAGTGAATTTGGTGCCTGTATGAGGCTCTTGCCCACAATGAACTCTTAGAAACTCAGAATATAGATACAAGAAATGATGTAATACCTGTAACACAAATTGGTTTTTATTTTCAATAGATGTTTTTAAAATCAGATTCATTCTATAGATGCTACATGACTTCTGGTTTCTCTTTTGCTACAACACACTAGCACAGCGACCTGCTACATTACCTTCTATAGAAAACAAGTAGGATCATAAGCAGGCATAGATTCCTTTACACAGGGTTTTCTAGCACAACTTTATTTATAGTCACTATGTGATGGTCCTACTATTAGCAAATTTTGTGGCTTATGTTAAGAACCTCAGTAAGCCTGAGTATTACTCCAACTTGGCTTGAGAATCTTTTCAGCTTGAATATAGTAGCTTAAATGTTTTACATTTTATCTAGGAATTCCCCACATCACAACTGAAATCCAGTGATAAATTGCAGCCAGAGTAGGCCGACTGAATCACTGGAACTTATAGAGGAGTTCTCAGTCACCACTGATTCAATGATCCTACTCTAGTTGCATCGTACTACTGGATTTCAGCCAATTCATAAGATACTTTGATGCATATTCAGCATTATATATCAGCTTGAAACTGATTGCAAAATAGTTGATGTTAATAATATTAATTTATGTTTCTGTATTTTAACTAATATTAATGGTAAAAAATAAATGGAAGAGATAAATGTTTAGTGAAAATAATATATGCCCTTGGCTCTGGGGAATTTTTCAGCCATGGGCTATGTTTCAGTCTAGTCTTTATTTTTATTTCTCTCTCTGTACATTTAGATGTCCTTGGCAAACTGTCAGCTTGTCTATGTATCATGGATTGCTGTCTCTCATATTGCAAGTTGTGAGAATGTTTGAGCAGCTCTAGTGCATAGGCTGGTGGTGGGGAATCCCAGACTGTGAATACAAGACTTTCAAATTGGATCTCTGGATTTGCTCCAAGTTTGAAGACTGAATGCATAAAACATACACATAAATTATGATATATTGCCTCCTTTCCTTAATTCATGTAATTAAAAGCAAGATAACAGTAAACAGCTAGGAAGAACAAGCCTACTTTTTTATACTGTCCCCCCCCCAAATAATTAAAAACAAGAGAAAGAAAAGACAACTGCAATATGAAGCAATGAGAGATTTATTTATGAGTCAAAATGTTGTTCATTTAGGTGCATACTGTCTGAAGGATTTATATGCTTCTGTTAAATGGACATGAAAAGCTTGCTGGCCAGAATGTGACTCCTTACATAGGCTAGTACAAGTCCAATGGTTTAAGTCTGAGAGACCAATTGACACTACTTAAGGAATTTGGAATCCCAGTGTGGTGTAGTGGATACAGTGGCAGACTAGGACTCTGGCCATGGAACCTCACTGGGGGAATGGAAATATTAAAACCACTCCTTAAATATCTCATGTCCGGTACCTTGAAAAACCCTATTATAAGCTATAAGTCGGACTTGATGGCGCAGAACACACACATAAGGAGCCTGTGCTTCTGTCCCTTCATTAGCATCAGCTACATGACTTGGTTTGCAACGAGAAATGTCAGTGGCCAGTTCATGGCTAGCAACAGTTTGTTTCAGTGATTTATACCATTTTGAATTGCGCTGACATACTGTATGTAAAAAATGAGATTCTGTCCAATATTAGCAACCAGTTCAGCACTGATTTACAATGCCCTTATAGCTATGCAGTGCCTAATTTGTCTATATACACTTCTTCGTATACATAATATGCCAAGATTCTAACGTTTTTACAACATTTTTATGTCTTTATTCTTCTTAGGATGGCTCATACTTGGCAGAGTTCCTGCTGGAAAAAGGCTATGAGGTGAGTGACTTGTCTTGGTGACTGACTGCAGACTCATGGAATAATTTAGAAACAGTTTCCTCACTGCTGTCCCTTTCTGCTTATGTTTTCCACTCAGCTTTTAGATAACAGGTCAAAATGTTAGAAAAGAATGTGCAACATGGCCTGTAAGCATGCCAGCTTATTGTACTATTTATCATATTGTGTCCTGTGGTGGAATCCCTTCAGCCCTCAGGGTATGGCTCTTTTTACACACTTCCTGCTTGTTTCAGATAAACAGCAGCCTCTGCTGCTGCTGCTGCAGCAAAAGAAGCAGAGGATATATCATCATGTACCACATTAAAAAGGGGAGAAAGCCCATGCTTATTTTGAATAGCTAGTGTTACTGATGGTTTTTGTACAAAAAAGAGATTTTATACTCAGTTTCTCAGGTACCAGATTAAATTATTCAGTCTTTAGAACTGGACAACAGCAACAAATTAGAGAAGTTATATAATGTTTATTATTATCATTATTATTTATTTGATTTATACCCCGCCTATCTGGGCGACTCGCAAATGTTATACCATTTGCAGTGCTTCCTTCTTGTGATACATGATGCAAAATTGTGCTGTTCAGTGTGTGTACAGGTAAAGAATGCTGAAGCCTTTACTTCCTGATTGTCCTTTTCCAAAAAAATATTCTTGCTCAGTCAAGGTCCTTTACAATGTGTGAGTGAGCTCACCTGAGGGGTAGGTTGTAGGGGGAAAGTATTCTCAACTATTATTTCACATATGGGAGGGTTCTGCTCTCTGCCTCACCTCTCAGGAATACTTTTGAATCCCACTCCACCTTTTTTATAAAATTGGGACATTTCTGTATCACAAAGCATCACATCTAGTTTGGCTGTGGCACCCCAAAACATGTGTCAGCTACCAACCTGTAGCTTGTCTAATATGGGCAGTGAACGGTACCTTTTAACAGGAGTTGTATTTCTTAGCAGTCTTTTCAACCGTTCTCTTCAGGCAAACTTTCCCTTGGTGACTGGTTGCCTGAGTGGCGTTTGTTAAATATGTTGCTGTACTTTACTGCTTTGAATGTATTTTGATGTTGCTTTTCTTTATGTTTTAGTGTGATATTTGTTTGATCCTTACAGTATTATATAATCATTTTTGGTAGCTTTTCTTGCTGTCATTTAATGTTGTAACCTGCCTTGGGTCCTTTCTAAGGAGAAAGGAAGGGTAAAAAAATATTTTAAATAAATCAATCACAGACTAAAGCATCAAAGATTACAAGTTCTGTGCTGCATCTTTTAAATTGCAGGTACATGGAATTGTTCGTAGATCTAGCTCTTTTAACACAGGACGGATCGAACATCTTTACAAGAACCCGCAAGCTCACATAGAAGGAAGTAAGAACATTATTCTCAATGATGTGTTTTTGTTTGTGTTTGCTGTATAATCTGTTGGAAGGTTTCTATAGGATTGAATTAGCTGGGAAATTGACGATGATGACTAGTAATTTGAAGTTTTCCCCAAGTCAGGCAAGGAAAAAACAAAACAATTCCCCCCAAAGTTTTTCCAGGAGAAAACATGAAAGTCAGCTAAGAAAGGGAGAGCGCTGGGCAGTGGTGTGCTCAGTATAATAACAGAATACTTAATCTGTCTCTTGTTCCAATACTAAATACAAACACAGAGACCCAGCATTCAATCCAGCTGGTCTCTTGGTGAAGCAGTAGTTACGAAAGCTCAGCAGTAATTTACTGCCCAAAAAATATTGAGACGAGTATAGTATGCTATTTTAGAGAAACTGAATTAGACGGACCTATTATGCCTTAAGAGGATTTTCTTAATAGTAATATTTTTTATGATAAATGGAAAACCTATGGTAATAGGTGTATCTCAGAATTCATGATTTCTGTGAGAATGTCTTTTTACTAGAAGAGTGATTGATAGAAAACCTTATTTCTTTGTTGTTATTCTTATTTTTTTAAACAAAGTTCAAGGCCCAGCAGTGTGATTCAGTAGGTGGGTCCAGTGCAGTTGGGACTTTCTTCTCCTCTCACTCCTACTTGCAGTTGCAACAAAAAACATGCTCTGGAAGGGGTCTTAGCTCTCTGGAGCAATTTTTCTGAATGCAAAAGGGACTTCTAGAGCAAATTTCCAATTCTGATTGAAGCAGTGGGCATTAAAAAAAATCTCTGTTGCTATAATATCTTTAAAAGTGTGGTAATGCCTTTAAAGGTACTGCACTCCTGTGGATGTTGGTATTAATCTGCATTTTCTTTAATTCAGGTTATAGATTATTTTTATAATAACTTGTACAGTTCCTATGATACTGAAAAATTAAACTACAGCATTCACATTCCATTTGATCATGTGGAAGGTGACTTGAAGACAGCCATGTAGCTTGCACAGTGAAATATTTAAGTACATGCTAGTATTTAATTTAACGAGAGATTAATTCAAACTGGAAACTTCAGTAGAATATGGTATGATGAAAGTAACACTAGGATTATAAGGCACTACTGTACATATTTAATATAATATTGTATTGAAAATGTAGTTCTCAAATCTGCATGATCTTGATGATGTTCTTTGTTATCTGAAGATATGAAGCTACATTATGGGGATCTCACAGACAGTACATGCCTAGTGAAAATAATTAATGAAGTGAAGCCCTCTGAAATTTACAACCTTGGCGCTCAGAGTCATGTTAAAGTAAGTAGTATGCATTAACTTGGATTTATAAAAATAGTGGCAAACAATTTCCTCTGGGAAAAATCAGAAACTTATGTATCTTATCACTACTTTTTTGTTAGATGTTGCCTCTTTCAATCTTTCTTGGAAACTTGTGTTAGTTTCATTCTGTAATCATTCTCTCCCTTGCAAATTATATAGCAATATTTCCCAGATGTGTATACATCTCAAATTCCCTAACTTTCCCAAACCCCTCTGCGATCACTTTTCTTTCTTGGATATCCTTCATTTCTCAGTGGACATCCCGCTAGATCACAGTTCCATGTGACAAGAAGCCTATGTGATATTGTTGGACTACCATGGCTGTGAGGAGGAGCTAAGAAACTTTAGCATCACTTTGTGCTTAACCATCAGAGATGGATTGTTTGGAGTCCAGCTCCCAGAATTCCCCAAGCAGAATTCTGGGAGGTTCAGTCCAAAAACGAAAGTCTACAGACCAGCTTTCCTTACTCCTTGTGTGTCTCTAGCAGCCTCTTTTCAAAAACAATGGAACTGACTCAGTATTCCCTGGAAGCTGCAAGGCATCCTGGGAGTCCAAAAATCTGGAAGTCCTATCCTTATTGACCAGTGGTTGTTGTGTAATGTGAACAGGCAAACTCTTGTTAATGTCAGCTGTGGTTTCTTTGGAACAAGCCAGCTTCAAACTATGTGTTTTGAGGCTGACTTTATTCAAGAACAAATAGTTAACATTAACTAAAGCTTAGGGTTCAAATGTCATGCTAACCTGTGATTGTTCAAAAGTGAGACCAAGCACTTGGAAAGGTTTTTTGTGTGCTGCATGAGAAAATGGAAAAACAGGATCCCTAGGCTTACCTATGTTTGTTCTTATCTCAGTAAATCCTGGTTTAGCATGTCACCTGAATAAGGCGTCTGTGTGCTTACTTAGATCAACAGACATACACACTATGTACAGTGGTGCCTCGCAAGACAAAAAAATCGCAAGATGAATGGTTGTGGCAATGGGGTCGATGACTCGCAAAACAAATGTTCCTATGGCCGTGCTTCGCAAGAAGAATGTTTTCTGTTTTGTGTTCCAGCCTCATGTTTGGTGATTTTTAAATGTTTTTCTATGATGTTTAAAAAGTTAAAGTTTTTTGACTGAAATTTTTTAAATCATCTGTACAATATGTATGGCTTTAAAGAGCACTTAATAAACCCTTTGTAAAACAAATTTGACTTTGTTCTGACTTTTTTGCCCATAGGAACACATTAATTAGATTTCAGTGCATTCCTATGGGAAAACGCGTTTTGCAAGACAATTTTTTCGCAAGACAACATTAACTGCGGAACGAATTAAATTCGTCTTGCGAGGCACCACTGTATCTTCATATCATGTGAAGAGAAAAAAGAGTAAATGTCATATTTGATCAAAGAAAAACCTGATGTGTTTCTGTAATTAAAAAATAACTTGATGTTGGCTGACAAGGATTTTTCTCATTGTTTCCTCTCTTCCTTCCACCTTGTGTATTAAGGTGATATGCTATGCCAACCAAATTCACATTGGCTGAAGCATAATCACCTTTGAAATTTTGGGGGTATGTGTGTGTGCATTGAGAAGCAAGTCTGAAAATAAATGAAATAAATATGAAGATAAGCGGTATCATTATTTAGTTCCTCTTGACAGTTGAATTTATTAAGAAATTATTAACTAATAATTTAATAAACTGAGAAGGCCCTCTCTCATATCTTCACCAATTGATGTTGAGAAAGTGGTGGAACCCAGAGAAGGGCCCTCCCCACAACTTAAATGCTAGGTAGGCTCATATGGGATGGTACAGTCTTTTTAAATTTTTGATATACATAGTATCACTGCACAGATGTTGTAATTGACAGATATAGTACAATGGTGCCTCGCATTACGAGTGCTCTGTGAAATCGCATCACGATGAAGATTTTGCGATCGCAAAAGTGTTCGCAAAACAATGTTCCCTATGGGGCTTTGCGATGATTGGTCCCCTGTTTTGCTAACCGATTATCGCAAAGTGATGATTTTCGGCCAGCTGATCGGTGGTTTCAAAATGGCAGCTGGGTGAAAAGCATGGCCGCCCGCTGTTTTCTGGCACGGATTCCTCGCTGCACGGGCAGCGAAAATGGCCGTGGTATGGAGAATCTTCACTGGACGATGAGTTTTAAGCCCCTAGGAACACATTAATTGGGTTTTAATGCGTTTCTATGGGCTTTTTAAAATCGCATGACATTTTCGTTCGACAGCGATTTTTTTCGGAACGAATTAATGTCGTCATGCGAGGCACCACTGTATATTGTTAATCTTATGCTATGTCTTAAGAGTAGCATGTGATTAGCCAAAATACTGATACTTAGATTTTAATACATCTCAGTAACTGAAACTGTAAGTCACCATATATAGACTGAATCCAGCAAATTGTAAGATAGCAGACCACGTTTTCTTACATAATTATTCTTGTAGTGTAAAGCATAGTGGTAGTTTGCAACTCATTAATTAGTCTCTCCTTCGATTTGTATTTGCTTACCAAACCAATATGGTGACTTGTTGATTTGCTGCTGGGAGGTAGACCATTTCTTTTATACTAGCGTCATTCACAAGCTTGCTGCAAGAACTTTCAAGTCCCATCTTGCTGTGCAGGTTTTCAAAGTGATCTCTTGGTAGAGGGTTTGTCAGGATATCTGCTGTCATCTCTGCAGTGGATGGTCCCTTTCTCAGTTACACAATAGGTAGTACCTCACATGTTTGGTGTTTAGTGCAATAATCTTTTCACTCTAGAAGTTTGATGTAGCTCTAGTCGTATTCTATTGTTGGACTGGCATCTTTTCATCTATTCCAGTCCTTTAGCAGCTTCTCGAGCTGTAACAACTTTCAGCACATTTCTATTGCAGTAGTGAACTCTGATAAAACTCTCATTTATGACTAGCCCATGAGATAGGCCCCGCAGCATACATAGCGTTTTGAATGGTAAAAATAACTCTAGAAGTATTTAAAGTAGGATCTTTACTTACAGTAATGATCTCTAGTTACAATCAGAGGAGAAAGGGGGAACTGGAGTCTCAAACATGCAGGAATATGCATTCATTTTAAAGATAATATTTTTCAGAAATTGATGAATGAACTTAAAAATGGAAAAAAAAGCCTTTTCTATGTGTTTATCCTTTTTTTAAAAAAAAAGGCTTATGTCTACATTATACTTGCCAATATATACATTATATATTGTCTGAAGGCAATTTGCTAATTTCTGCAAATGACCTTTTAACAGTTTTTATTAAAATGACTTAGCTTTTGAATAGGATTCCCAGTGTGGTGTAGAACAGTGGTCCCCAACCTTTTCTCAACCGTGAAGTGGTTGGGGGTGGTGGTGGAGTGCCTGCAGGGGTACGGAGCTCGCTCGCATGCATGCGCACATCGCACTCGTGGGGGGGACACTCATGCACATGCACAGAAGGGGTGGAACGCACTTGTGCATGGGCAAGAGATCTGTGCCCATGGCCCAGTCCTTGATAGGCCGCGGACTGCTGCTGGGGCGCGGACTGGGGGTTGGGGACCTCTGGTGTAGAGGATAGAGGGCTCTGGAATATAGGGCTCGAATCCCCACTTGGCCATGGAAACTTACTGGGGGACTGGATCTGGTAAAACCTTTCCTTAAAATATCTCACTTACCTTGAAAACCCTATTAGAGTCTATATAAGTCAGTTCCAGCTTGATGTCACAGAATAATAACATCTTTTCAATAATGCATATTTAAATTATATTAGTAATATAATTAATAATTGGTCAACTATTTTCATATATGAAATACTTATATATCTATTGAGGATAATGGTTTATCATTTCTTTAAACCCCTGTAGCATAATCCTTAGGTATGATGAGATGCTATGTGAAAGTCTAGGATTGGCAGAATGCCTGAAACATTATGTAAGAGCCCCTAAGATGTAGTGGTTAAAGGTGGTGGGATGTGAATTACACAATCCAGTCTCAGCTCTTCAGTCAGCCGTGAAACTCACTGGATGAGCCTAGGTCGATTTGCTGTGTCTCAGCCTTAATCTTCATAACAGGGCTGTTGGCAGGATAATATGAGGAGAAGAAGAGGCATATATTCTGTGGTCAGCCCATTTGGAACAGCACTTGTGTGATTTTCTTGGGTAACATTTTAATACAATAAAGGTATTACTCCTCCTAAGAAAGGTATTATCAATGTCCAATGTGGCTTTTAACAACAACAGCAATGTTTCAAGATCAGCTCTCTGTTGTGCCATACATATGCCAGTTCTCACATATAGACACGGTTCTATGTGTTTTGGCTGGGATTCGATGGGAAATATTTTAGTTTAAAGAAACCGTTGTTTTCTTTTTGTCAAATAGATGGCAGCAGAGTGCTAGACAATAGATCATTCAGTTCCTCTAACTGTAATGAAAGAAGCATGACAGACAGTAGACTTCTATCAGCTGCATCTTGTAGAAGTTGTAGTTATACATTAAATGTGAAAGAATACTGCTATTGATAGTGCACAAGAATAGAAGACGGAGAAGGTTGTGCAATGCTATACATTTGTGAATAGTTCCAGGTGGGAAAACCTAAACTTTTAAGGTATGACATCAACTCGTGAAATGTGATTGAAGTCCACTAAGATAATATACACATCAGAATAAGTAGACAAAGAGAAGCAAAGTGTTCACAAGTTTCAAGTGAATAAACTACTGTCTTGGGGTGCTGTGGACAAAACATGCACATCTCTTCACATATAAATTAGTCAGAGAAGAAAATAACAGTCCTCTGACTGAAACAATGTCAAAAATGGTGCTCTGAAATAAAGAATATAGCTTTGTTTTTAGATAGATTTTCTCATCTGTACTGTGGTAGTTGTATAGTTAAAATAGAATATATAATTGTTGATAAAGGTAGCCAACTATCCTAAAAGAGGTTTCAATAAATAAGCACATTAACCTTCAAAAGATAATAACTGTAAATTTCATGTAAGATATGTGTGT